GGATCACAATGCATTGGTTTAGGCTCCCTTACATTTATAGATCCCTTACGAGGTATATTACTACTGTATTTGTGCGAGTTTAAGTTCTTACGTCTTTAATTACCTCAAATGGATGCAAATACACGTTGAAAACCATCAATATCGACTTAATTTCGTTTCATCTGCTGAATTTTACCAACTGCCTTAGAGCATGATTATAGGTGGGTAAATTGAGTAAAGATAGTGGATTCTTAAGAATTAAACCCAATTAATTAAATAAAAATGGGTTTAAAAACATATTTACGGTTCTAAAACTGGACTTTATATTTTCGGTAAATGTACAGTTCTCTCTCCTTCTGATTGGTCGAAATTAGGCTTTGATTGGAGACAGCACGGATGCGGATTTCAAATGCGGAACTAGAGAAACACCAATCACACGTTTTATACAAATTTGCGTTTTCTTAAAAAAAATAAAGTAAATCCGCACACTTTCTTCGAGACAGTGATTTATACAGAAAATAAAGAACCGCATTTCGGATTTGTACCGTGTGTAAAACCCAGCGGATCGGCAAAAAATCCGCAAATCCATTGGGTAATAATATTTTTAATAGAATAAAATAGGAAATCAGTCTATTATCCCACACAAACTCCATAACCAAAAGTTTAAATTGTTTTCCTGGGAAAAAATATTCTAACTTAATAGATTATTTAATAAATATGTTTATTTTACAAACTTTACAAAAATTGAAAATATAATTAACTTTAATAAATCTGTTTTTGACAAAAGTTAGTTACAATAATCAAATTATTAATACAAAAAGTTTTAAATTTAAATGTGTAATAATCAAGTTTCATTAATATTTAGCAAAACACCTTATCGTTGTTACTTAATTATTTTTAATGTATTCATCTTGTATTTTATGGTTTTAAATAATTCAATATATATCTAAAAGTTGGTCATTAGTTATTAAATAAATAAATAAAATTATGCAATAGTAATAACATCATTTTATTTATTTATTTTTTGGTCGAAAACATCATTTTATTTTATTTCCTAAATTCTTTTATCTAAAATATCTATCTCAAACTTTTATTGTTTCACCAATCAAATAATTATCTTGCACCGCATGTTATGTTTTTCACCAATCAAACATTGTTTTGTACCGCTTTTTTATATAAACCGCACTTGTTCCGCATAATGTAATTTCCTGCACGAACCGCATTTACACTGAACCGCATTACGCAATTTTTCTATCCCCGCACAATTCAATGCACCATTCGGACCCTTAATAAACAAAGTGAAAAAAGAAACGCAGACACGCGTTTTGGTTTTCATTGT